TAAAATTCCGATTTTTCGTTTCATATTTCAGTCCTTTTTGCCTCATATTTTTAGGGGTGTTACACCATGACTTCCAATCACTAGTAACTAGAAGAGCATCGTCTCCTTATATATACTCCTTTGGTGGTTGTAAAGCCAAATAATATCCACACCTTTTGTTTTATTTTCATATATTCGATTTTTGAGTAAATTACGCTTTTGTACCTATGGTTTGTTACAGATTTTGGATTATGTCCTTATAGTTTTGAAATTGTAGTTTTAGTCCCTATAATTTGTAATTCATTTCTATTTTCATTCTTGAGGTTAAACACTACTTTTAAGTGTAAGAGACTAAAATATATATGTATTGTAACCCATAAGAACAAAAATAGCAATAAAATTGTAATCGTGAGGACGAAAACGGAAATGAATTATAAACTATGAGGATGAAAATCATAAGAATGAAAATAGAAAATTTCACAAACCACATAAACTAAAAACATAATTTACTCATTGATTTATTTATATCGATTACTGTTTAATATTTGTTACCAAACACCCTCTTATTGTTTAGTCTATGATGAATGGAAAACTAAAATACTTTTTATGCGAGTAGACATTTAATGACAATGTTAGTGACATAAATCAAACTCTTAAGAAAATGAAACTATAATGACAAAAAAAAAAAAACAAATTACACAGGAGATATTTAATTATTTCGCTATTACAAAATAGAAAATTCCTAAAAAACCAAACAAACTTTTTACAATTTAGTCCCTAAACTATTTTTAAAATAGAAAAGTTACTTTCTCAATTTGAATGATTAAATTCCCGAACTATATAAAAAACCATTAAACTTTAACATTTTGAATGATTAAAAACTTTAACATTTTAATGTAACATTTTTTGGGTTAAAATATTGTAGGTAACCAATTTCTAAAAGTGCGATGATTTATTCATTAAAAAATTATATTCAATAACTTAATCAATTAAAAGTAAAAAGTTTAGTGGTTTTTTCTTTAAAAAAAAAAATAATTGTTTTTTAATTAAAAAAATAGCTGAAAAACTTAATCATTCAAAATAAAATAAAAATAATGATTCTTTTCATTGAAAAAATAATTTATAAACTAGAAAGATATTCAGTAAAAAAATATTAAAATATCTTAAGTTAACAGAGAATTTTAACATAGTTAATTTCAATGATAAAATAAAAACAATAACAAATTATAAACTATAAGGATAACGATGTAATTTTTAAAAAATTATAGAAATAAAAATAGAATTATTTTTAACAAACCATATTAAAGAAAATCATAGTTTACTCTTGAAATAAAATATATAATTCATATTCATATAATTATAATAAGTCAATTAACTTATCAACTAATTTTTGTTAAATATTAATCAGTTAGCAACTGATAATTAATTTATCAGGTTGTATGATATCATAATTTACGCGTTGGGACTTGGATGAGAGAGATTCATGGGTTAATGGGCATATGTTAACGAGATTACAGACTTGGATAGGGGAAAAAGAAGTGAAAAAACAAGAAGGTTATAGATGTAAAAGTGAGTAAGTAGGAGGGTTTAAAGTATAAATAATTCAAGAGGGTGAAATTAAAGAAGGTTCGGGTATCAGAATGCATCGGGGATTGTTGTCAGAGATGAATATGTGGGACCCATGGATGATGTGTACCACAAGCCTTCATGTGCCCTCGCATTTCCAAATTTTGTAATTCTGCCGGTTTCATACGGTTTGGACTTTTGGAAAGTTTTGTTATAAAACATTAAAAGGAGTAAAAACTTAATGTAATATTTTATAATTTCTTTGCTTAATAACAATCGTTTTTTATTTATCCGTTTAGTTTCTGAAAGTATGATTAGAAATGTAAGAAAGAAAGAATGGTTAGAAAGGTAAAATAGTCTTTATCTTTGAATCAATCTTAATTAAAAATCAATGTTAATGCGGTGCATCTCGTAATTCCCGTGATAAACGCAAGTCATGGGATGAGATGAGATCAAAAGTGATCAAGAGTTTAGATCTTTATTTACGTTTCTCACTTTAACTTTTATTCTCATACGATTTTTTCGTCTTTATTGAGCTTGTCTTAAAATATATAGATATATTGATGATGTAATGTTACTAAGTAACAAAAATAAAAGTTATAATCTTATAAATTTAATTAATATACACACACATATATATAAGCAAAATGTTGAGTTGTTTAGGTGATACAATTTAGAAAAAGTATTCTTCAAATCCTTTTTTTCCTAAATTTTTAGATTTTAATTAGTTAATGATTTTATAATGTGATTTATTTATTTTGGTGGATCTCATTTCTTAAGTCATGAATGCATCATAGGCTTTTGGTTTCTATTGTTTATATATATATATATATATATATATATATATATATAGCGTTGAGTTCACGTGAGACAAAGGTTTTCCGTGAGACCCAAGGTTTTTCGTGAGACCCGTAAGACCAATTTATGTTCATTGATCAATTTTATAAGCTAATGATCTAATAGTCCAAAGTTGCACGATGGCAATTTTGTGATTATTGAGAAGTCTCGTGGCAATTTTGTGATTATGAATGTTCAGATTGTAGATCTAATCCAAGGATTGAGAATTGGTCTTACGGGTCTCACGAAAAACCATTGATCTCACATGATCCCAAATTTATATTATCAAAGTATTTAACTTATTTATCTATGCTCAATAATCCGATGATGCAAAAAAAAAATCAAATACTTTAAGTGCATTTAACTGAAGTGTTTGAAAAGTTTTGGACATCTATAAAGAGAAACGAACATGGTTTTTTAAGGAGAGCTTCCAACATTTTGGGCCCCTAAATTAGTTATGCTTTGGAGCTTGTATTTATATAGCCAACCTGTGAACCCGTCTCAATGAAGACCTATTGAATTTCATTGAAATCATATTTAGTTTCAAAAATTGCGGATCAAAAACAAAAACGACTGTTTGGCATTCTTCTCACTTTGACATTTTAAACATTTAAAATTATATTTTGTTTATTACTCATTTCATGTGATATATAGTTTTAGTACACGTGTAGCAGAACCTCCAAAAAGATTGGGACAGTCTTGTGCATAAACCTCACTCTGCCTTTTGTTCCTCTACCTATATGAGGCATGTTTTCGACATAAAAACTAGGGAGAGAACCTCATCGGTGATGTCTGGACATGATTGGAAACATTTACTTTATAATGAAATATCATTTTAAATATCTTCTAATATATGCGAATGGACCAATATATGGAGATACAAAGTACATATTTTTTCCCTTTTGCCTATGGAACCATTTTTAGCCTTTTACAAGGCCAACCTCTCTATAGAGCAACTCGTTCAAAAATAAGGGCTACTTTTTTACGATTGTCAATACAAAAGTTAAGTTGAAGACGTTGTACTGGAGCCAAGCAAAAATGACCATACCTTGTGCTTTTTTTTCTTGACACGAGAAATAAAAGTTTTAAAAATTCCTTATTTCACACCCATTTTAACTTAATCGTGTTGATTTTGTAACATTTAATGATCTGGATGCCAACTTTTCAACTTATACTGATTGAATGAACGATATGATCTTGGGTCAAAATGTTTTCTAAGAATATATTGCTTGACAAATTGACATCCTGTCTTTGTCCCATCCATTTTGGTGGAAGAGAAAAAAACTTTCTTTGTTACATCTAGACTCATCGAGTCCTTGTCATAGTCTCTATTCTATGGCGTATTACTCGTGGA